TTCTTATTGACAGTTTCCAGGAAGTCCAGCATTCACAAAGAAGCTCAATGACATTATTAAAGGAGTCAGTAATTCAAGTGTGATCAGTATAAGTCAAGTGTGTCTTTGTCATGATGTTGAAGAAGAGGGCTGGACAAGTGTCAGAATAAACACCATCTGCTTCCTCTTTCTCATCACTCCTGCTTCATTACACACTCACACAGCATCTCTGAATTGTCTGATTTTGAGCAATAGATAAAATGGTAAGTTATTCTTCTATTACTTAATACCATCGCTAGTGGAGCTAAAGCAGCATCACTATTGCTCCTAAAAGTGTACACACAATAAGACTTCAAAGAATATTTAGTTTTTAACAGACAGAATGCTATTTTAAAATTCAGTGTTTTGTTGTACACATAATTTGTATATGAATGTTTGTATTTGTGTGTGTTTGTTTCAGGTTTTCGCTGTACCACAGAGGATCCTCCTGATGTGCCTGTTTCAGTTTTGCACTTGTGCAGTCGCTCAGACTGTGGACCCAAAAACTGTCATGAGTATTGTTAAGAACTTTGAGAATCAGTATGTTGCTTTGATTCAACATAAAAGTAGAATTTACAATTCCCCCCAAAAAAAGAAAAAGAAAAAAAATGCTCATACACGACCAAAATCATGAAATGAATGATCAAATATAAGAAATATATCAAGAAAAACTAACAATAGTTTTAAATCAAAATGTTTTGTCTTTTATAATTACACCATCATGCAATAATTTTAACATTAAAGTATTTTTATCACTTTTAAATATATATAATGCATATTTTTCATACAATATTTGTTTTAAAATGTGAGAAATAAGCTCTTATAAAATATTACATTCCCACTGCTGTGTAATTTCCAGGTTGGGTAACACGGGACAATACGCTGTCGCCTTCAGAATTGAGAAGGACAAATGTCTTAAAGGTTCTGACTATCCAAGCAAGGACTTACTAACTAAAGTGAAAGAAAAACTTATGCTGAAAGAGGTTTACCAGAGCGATGACCTTATTGCTGCAAATCCGAATTGAAAAGAACATTCAGAGTTTCGCCTGAAAAATTATCTGAAGAACATCTTGAAGGATGAAAATGAATGTGTGGGTTTTTTCACTGTAAATTCACCCTGTTTGAAAACATGCCTAGCAGAATCTGGGCCATACAGTGTTAAAGACAGTCTTGTACTGTTAGAAAAATATGTGGGTATTAAAGCCTTTGCATTCAAAAACATTTGGACACATGATAAAAAGGAGGATGTAATAAAGAGACTGAACACTGAGGGCGGGCATCAAGGGAGCAAGTTAGTGAAGCGTTGCACGCGCAAAAGAGAAGGTCTGCACACATCCAAAACCTTTTTTTAAATGCAAATGTTTTTTTCGTGCGCACTAAATACTTTTTTCTTTACGAAACGAACGTTTTCGCCACAAAACTCAGATCGCGCGTGTGCAAAATGCACTTTTGTGCGCTCAAAATATGATCTTTCGCTCCCAGAATTGTGGCAGAGATCTAAGCCTATAAGCAGTGACTCCACCGCCTGCCGCGTCCGGTGTGAAAGGGCCTTTAGTCAGAAGTGTAGTCTGTCTTGGAGCGCGCGCACAGAAAACTGCCTGCCAACGTGCGAGTGTGAACTTGAATTTCCTTTCGAGCATACTACACTTATAAGAAGTGTGATTGCACCAGGCACATCACACTCTGTTTCTCAACCATTTGTCCATGCTTCTTTTTCCACTCCAACGTTTTCACACTAAAAGCTGCACGGATATATTTGCTTACCCCAATAGGCCTTTTTCTATGTAAATGATTTAGAAAATGTTCAATCAATTCACACTTGATTGAACCATTCACACTTTATATCATCGCCATGATATGTATTGTCATATCACCCAGCCCTAACATGCAATAATTCTTTAAACACATTTGACAAGCTAATTGATAAAAAACAACAACAACAGATTAACTATCAAAACTGATTGGCTAACGCTATTTATTTCCCTTGTCAGTGCTTTTCTTCTTTCATGTTAACTGAAGGCAAATCTGAAAATTCACTATTTTAACTTTAATAAACAAGTACAACTGACCATGACATCCTCACATCATCTTATTCCAGAAAAGTCGCTCACTCAATGCGGAATGGAACTGTATGTGGATGTTGGGGTTGGGGGAGGGGAGGTGTTTGAACTAGTTGATGCACAAAATCAACACCCTGATAAAGAGGTTGACAGGCACAACGTATTGTATGTATTTTTAAAAATACAAAAATACAAATCTTAAATGGATTTAAATACAAATTTCATTAGATTTTTTCCCCAAAGGCTTTAAAATACAAAATAGTATTTTATATTTCAAATAAATATTTTGAATACATGTATCTGAAATACTGCCCATCCCTGATATCGACCTCACAACTGCAGATAATAAAGAACATTTTTGACACACAGCAAATGTTGAAATCATATTTCAATTATTACAATACAATCAGCATCAGGTTTATTCAAATATATTCACTTGGTGGGACTGTCAGTGTAGTGCTAATACTTCAATTTTTCCCAACAACAGCAAAAATTATAATAATAACATTGAAAATAATAATTTGCAGAGGCCTATTTTTAAATAACAAATTTTAATAGTATTTAAAGTAATAGTATTTATTCTTATTATATTTTTTAGAACAGTACTTATTATATAATCGCTTTTATTAAATTATATAATCACTTTGTTTTAATCAAATACAAATATTTACATGTTATTACATTTTTTTTATTTTAAATAATACATTACACTCGCTATTTTTTAAATTCCCAGCAGCTTCATGTTTTCCATCTTGTGTGATATTCACACACACACACACACACACAGGTTTGTTTTTATGGTTTATGGGGACTCTCCATAGGCATAATGGTTTTTATATTGTACAAACTGTATTTTCTATTGCCCTACACCAACCCTACCCCTAAACCTTTCTGCATTTTTAGATTTTCAAAAAAACTCATTCTGAATTATTTATAAGCCTTTTGAATTACGGGGACACTGAAAATGTCCTCATAAATCACCTTCTCGTTGTAATACCTATGTCATACCCATGTTATTATACAAATTTGTGTCCTCATAAACCACATAAACATGCACACACACACACACACACATATACAAAAATAGTCAACTATTTTCACTCAGAAATTGCCTGAAAATTTCACAAACATTTACAAACAAACAGCAAGTAACAATGAATTAAATATGAAATTCTGAAGTAGAAAATCTTACATAGTATTTTCTTGTAAAACATACTCCAGTAATCTTTATTTACAATTCTGAAAAATCTTTTTTTTTACAGTGCTGAGAAGAACAAATGTCCTGCAGACCGCTTCTACCACTCTAATCAAATCTGTTCACCTCTCAGTGTGCTGCTGAACTGTCAGTCTGGTGCTGTTAAATGTATTTCATCCAGGACGAGTCTGTCAATCAAACCTGAACACACAGAGTCTGTGGTGAAGGTACAGCTGCTCCTCATCCACACCCACAGGCTCCCCGGGGCCCCGTCGCCTCAGACCCGCTTCAGGCTGACCCTCTCAATGGAGGTCAGGACTGCACTCATTGAAACTATTGGATTCAGTCAGCTGGAGATGAAACATCTCCCACAGCATATTACCCTGAGGAACACCGGCAGAGAGAGACTGTGTGAGGGCAGAAGCATCCGGATGCATGAGGGGAGCCAGGTGTCAGGAGGAATTCAATCAATAAGAACATTTCACTTCATAAAGAGAGGAATGTAAAACTGAAAAATGAGGTGTATAATAAAACGCCGCGGGTTGCTTCTGTAAACCCCCAGGAGACTGTACTGAGTCCCAGCAGATGCCCTGAGAATGTGTCCTTTCACCTCACAAACAGCTACATATCGACACACTGGGTTCTTTATTTGTGTCTAGATGTGGCACATCACCCACTCGAGTTTGGATGAAAGAAATGAATTATGCAATTAATTTAGCCAGTTGTGTCGAGAAATGAACGCTAGATGGCGAAACAAGATCAGTCCATACTTCAGCGGCCTCCTTTTCTGCTCAATTAATGATAATAATAATAATAATGAATATTTTAATGAATACTTTGTTATTTATCATTTTATTCTTTATGAGTATTATCACATTTTAATATTCTTTTTAAACATTTAATCATTCATGTTTAAAAATATAAAAAGATTAAAATAGCGCATGGTATATTCGATAAATAGTTTAAACTATATAGTATTTTAGTACGTTTTAAATATTTTTAAACAATAATTAAAAGGATTAAAATAGCATAATCTCAGTTAGATGACAAAATATTAGGCTATGCATACATGCACATATAGGCTACATGTACAGTAAGTAATCACTTTTATTCATTATTTTACTGCTACTATTTATAATAATAAAAATAATAATAATACTGAAATATTTGTAGTAAATATTTTCTTCATATTATTAGATTAATATTTCAACCAATAAACAATTTTTTTAATAATATTTCATATATTTAAACAACAATAGGCCTATAAAATGAAGATTAAAATTATGTCATCATTGTAATTAAATAAGTGTGTGTGTGTGTGTGTGTGTTTGTGTGTGTGTGTGTGTGTGTGATTCATCATAAATTATAATAGCTGTTTATTAACGAAGGTTGGAATAAAAAACGAAATGCTATAATAATCATATTATATCTTAGTATATCATTATTTAACATATGGGCTATAACTAATTACATGTTTTTTAAATGATAAATATTTGCGCTTTGTGTGCAACACTACAATTTTAAACTCCTTTTTTCAATACCTTCAAACATAAAAAATACAAATTCTACAACGAATAATAATTTTAATAACTGATCGCGACGCTCTTTCTTGATTGACAGGCGCGTCACCAGAGAATGCCACGCCCCCTCCAGCAGAGCTCGCGGAGCGCGCGTCTCGAGAGTCTCGAGCGCCTCCAGATCAGTCGCGCGGAGCAGCGCGAGGAATGAACAGGAATAACGGAGAGACAGTAACGGGACGAATGGCGCACATGGCCGGGATTATTTACGCTCTCACCTCGCTTTTCCTGGGGATCTGTGCAGGTCTTTCCGCTCCGAGGAATCATCCGGCGAATGAAGGTGAGGGGGGTTTGAGTAAAGAGCAAAAGTTTCGGGCGCAGAGTGAAAGTCGCGCAAATACAAACAAACACTTCAGAAAGAAGCCTCCTCATCATTTTACCTACATTATCAAAGGCTTTTTTATAATATAATAACTTCTTGTTGCAACTGATGTCTGGAAATATAAATAATGTAGGGCAGTTGTCGCTTTAGCAGCTTAAAAACGAATTACTATTAATACATAGAGATATGCCACATATTTATTATTCACATTTTACATTTTAGATATATAATTATTCACTATTTTGTTTATCCTTCCTTCCCCTAATTAGTATGTATAATGTCTTAAATCTTTAGTTTTAACTTTAAAATGATTTGGGCGTTTTTATCACAAGAATGCAATAGTAATAATTTGTTATCTGGAAATATAAACAATAGCACACATATAATGTAAGACATCTTAAAGGCTGTATAAGGCTTTATAATTTACTGTAAAGGCTTTGTATTTAACTTGAAGATGATTTGTTGGCCTTAGGCTTTCTTTTTATTTTTTTAATGCGTTACTGTATAAGACAAAACAGTGTTTGCTTAATTTTTAAGAAAACAACACACCTTTCTTTACATTTTGGTTAATTTTCTAATTAATGTTTGTAAAAATTAGCCATGATTCCCTACTCAGTTCAACACTTGATCAAACCCCGTGCACTTGTCTGTCACTTTTTGCAGCGGTTGTCATTGTTTATCAGAGATTTATGCCATCCAGCTTTCATCCTAGCATCAGTTTGTCACTGTGGGTAAGATGCACAGGCTTCAGTGATCTCATTCTCAGGTCCTCTGTGTTTTTCTCCTTCAGTCACGCTGCTGGATTCCAGATCGGTGCAGGGAGATCTGGCATGGGTCGCCAGCCCGACGGAAGGAGGGGTGAGTCGAGACCATCTCTCCGTCCCTCTTTCTCCAGCTTGGCCTCATTAGCATGCATACGTAGAGTTTGAGCACCATTTCATACGTTTAGATTGATACGGCATCTAAAACCTAGAGCCTTTAATTTACAAATGAACTGAGGTCCATATAATATTAAATTCATGGTTAATTGCATTGTATTTCTAATAAATGACATGGATTTAAAGGTGTTTAACACCATCACATTTATTTAACGCATATATAAAGTTAATTAATTATGCATTATAGCAGTTTCGTTCTGTTCTGCTTTGATGATAATTAAATTCAGCCATACAAAGAGTGCAGGTGACTTTATTTTTATTAGACCCATCTGGAGTTCATTTATAAATAATTTTGCCATTACTAATGTCTTTTTAGGCCGTTATTTACTGAGAAGCGCCATATGATTGTGTTTGAGTATTAAACTTTGGTGGTACACTTTTAAAAATCAAGGTTGTCTATTGGCATCAAAGGTTCCACAAAGAAACATTCATGTAACGTTTTTATTGCACAAACGTTCTTCTGATTATTAAAATGTTCTTCACACTAAAAAATGGTTATTTTAAGAAGCATTTACTTAAAGGTATGGAAGGTTTCTGCCATAATTGTGATTGTGAACAGATTTTTATTTCTCAGTTCTGATTTTATAGTTTACAGTTTAGACTTTTTTCTCACAATTATACATTTTCAGAAGATAAAAAGTCAGAATTGTGAGATATAAACTTGCAATTGCAAGGAAAAAGTCAGAATTGTTAGAAGTCGCATGTAATTACCTTTTTTGTGTTTTATTCTGTGGCGCAAACAAAAAAAGTGGGACAGTCTTTGCTCAGAATTGTGGAAAAAAATCTGAATTGTGAAATGTGAACTTGGATTTGTGAAGAAAAAGTTCATTTGGAGTTTATATCTCACGATTCTGAGTAATTTCTCAGAATTGAGAGAAAAAAGTCAGAATTGTGTGATAAAAACTTGCAAAAACTGTTTTATTTTTTCATCCCATGGCAGGAACCCAAAATTGTTCTTCTGTAGCATTGCCATTAAAAAAAAATTCTCAGTGTACCCTCACAATTTTGGTTCAGGTCTTCAGAGAGCCTCAAGTTTGTTTACATCTCATATGTAAAAGCATTTTATGTTAATATTGTCCATTTCAGCATCTAAAAATGTTCATGTCACATATGAATACCTACAAATACAAGTGAGATCAGCCTACCCTGTCCACTTCTCTGGGATGGAAATTTGGAAAGCTAGGTTACAGCGACGGGCGTCAAATTTCCTAAATAGTAGAGGGAGACAGAAATGCCTTTTGTTAGGAAACTCTATCCCTTTTCTCTCAAAAGAGGTAGGGGGCGAGACTTGGCAACACAGAGGCAGAGAAAAGGTCTGTTTGAGAGTGTGTGTGTGAGATTTTAGATCGAGGGGGTCAGTGGGTTCTGTCCGATAATGTATGCTTCTGCACTGTTTGGAGCCCCTCATCACCAATTAGCCGTTTAACATCTTCAGATCAGGTGCATCTAAATGACCACATCAGCCATTCAATAAAACACACAGAATCCCCTTTCATTCCGGAGCAGCTCGGCTTCCTTTCGCATCGATCCAAGTCTCATTGAGCTCCTGAGTTCCTCTCCCTCTGTGATCTTCTCCGTGATGGACAGGCCTTTGGCACGGATGGTGGGCGGGTATTCAGACTTTAATATGGCCAATTAGCTCCTTTCTCCTCTCGTCCCGCTATCGGCAGCTCTGGGTTCTTATCTCTGCGCTGCTCCTCTGGGCCTCCGTAGTTACACAGATGAAGGGACGAGCCGAACGGAGACGATCACGCTCCCTGACGGACACCAGATTGCTGTCAGTCTTATTATCTCAGAAATGCTCAATTAGTTTTAGCGCACTTTGAATAATTCCTGGAGATTATTCAGGGCCGTCAGGATGATCTTAGTGGGACCGTGGCTGCTGATATCACACACAATAATTTTTCAACAGATTTTTTTTTGCGTTCTAAAAATTGCAAATTAATAATTTGGTAAATTTGTAGATCAGTCTGTGCCTGTTAACTGATATGTGTTCATTTGTAATCAGTTTGGATAAAAGCATTTGCTAAATTAATGAATGTGTATGTAGTTCATGGTCAAAGGCAAATTATTAATGCACATACCTTATTGGTCAAAAATTTGGAATAATTACGAATGAATAATTTCATGCTCACCAAGGCTGCTTTTATTTGATCAGAAATACAGTAAAAGTGTAATACTGTAAGATATTATTACAGTTTAATGGAACTGAATCATATTAGAATGATATCTGACTGAGGATCATGTGATACTGAAGACTGGAGTAATGATGCTGAAAATTCAGCTTTGATCAGTGATCACAGGAATAAATTACAGTTTACAATATATTCAAATAAAAGTCTGTTATTTTAAATTGTAATAATATTTCACAATATTACTGTTTTTTTTACTGTATTTTTTACTGTATTTTTGCTCAAATAAATGCAACTTTGGTGAGCATAAGGGACTTATCTCAAAGACTTTTATTATACCAAACTTTTGAATGGTAGTCTAAGATAAGATGCGATATTTCCCATTCAGACTCTTGGGTATCAGCATGGTGTTCAATTGCTTTAATACAAATCATAAGTGCTGATTAGATGATGACAACTCAATGAGTCCAATCAGTCGCTGCAATGCTGGTTTAGCAGAGGCCGAGAAGTGTTGTAGTTTGCCACGTTTTATTTATTCTATCTTTATTTTAAAAAAGGAACTTGGCCTTTCGTGAGTAAAAGAACCAGCTCATCATTCGAGTCAGTTGTTCGTGAATGGAATCGCTTGCGCTGTTTCTGTTTCACTAAAAAGAACCAATGTAAAAGAGTCATTTATTTCTCACCGGACAACATTACTCGCTGATTAGCCACTATAGTATGATGCATTGTTGTGGAAACTAACTAGCCAGTCACGACTGTTTCCCAAACATCGCATCTCCGTCATTTGAACCACATTGGTTCAACAATATAGGGCCCTTGTTAATGACGTCACACACATGTGGTGGAGTAATAACTTCTGCTAATTAATTGATTCGAGTTCTGAGATACTGCTGTATTGAACATTAAGCTGCCTTTCCACTGTCTTCGACATTAGGATACGATTGTCGCATTTCTCCCCCTAGTGGCAGTCGCACTGAACTTTCAGATTGGTTGTGAAGCAACTGTTACCCTCGGCTTATTCTCCATGGTAAAATGAACGATTTGAATGAATATAATGACTGTATGAAAATATCCACACAAAATAAATGACCGATTATAGGGCTCCCACACTGTTCTCCAATGGAAATGAATGACTTCTGGTCTATCGCTTGTCGTTTGTTGGAGATAGTGAAGGCGGCTTTATTTACTGTTTTGTGTTCTCTGTCATTTTGCTTTATTTGATGTTTGATTCATTGCGTGTTCCCTCTTACGTCATACTCCAGGGTTCCCCCTTAGCATTATCCACATGCACACAGTGCTTATTGAGGAAGTACTAAAATATATTGTGCCCAAGAGCATAATTTATTTAAATCCATTAGGGTTGGGCCGATAGACAGACATCACGATGTTGAGCCGGCATTGTGATCCCCCCCCAAAATCCGCCGCATCCCAATTCCGTGTTCGGAAAGAAAATTAAGTGCACTACGGAACTGCTAAAGGGAATAAATAGTCTAGGAGATGGGAGGATAAAAAAAAAATGTTGGGTAATTATACTGTATATAAATTGCGGGCATCAGGGAGCCGCTACTAATATGCACGGCATTGAAACCGCTTTCGAACGCGCGCTCTCATTTTACTTTCACTTTCACTTTCGAGATTCGCGATCACACAGACTCTGTACTACGGAGCGGCCTTACCTACCACACATTTTACAAGATTAGATATTTGTCAGTGGTGCTCAGTATCTGCAAATCATTCGACATTGTCCTATCAGTCACCTCTCCTTACTCTGTGTATGTGGTAAGTGAACGTTCATGTACTGTGATGTAACAGTCTACCGCTAGCAAGCAGCTAACCATGTCCCTTTAGTTGCTCCGTCGAACGCGTTATTTGTTTTCTGTGCCTTTCTGCAAACAGATTCACGCTTCGGGCACATCATCGTCCATCATGATGTTTCACTGTAGATGCCAGTTTGGTAGACATCGTCCAACCCTAAAATCCATATGTCTTACTAACAAGAAACTATGCTTCTAACACAGGTTGAGAGCTGTAGCAATTTGTTCTTGCATTGTTTGCATTCTAAAAGATTTCAATTTGACATTGAAAAAGTCTTGAGTTCCCTCATTTCTAACATTGTTCTTTTGCTGTCCTGTAAAGTGGGAAGAGGTGAGCATCATGGACGAGAAGAACATCCCCATCAGAACATACCAGGTGTGTAACGTGATGGAGCCCAATCAGAACAACTGGCTCAGGACTCACTGGATCCGGCGTGGCCCGGCACAGCGGATCTACATCGAGATTAAATTCACCCTGCGTGACTGTAACAGCCTGCCCGGCGTAATCGGCACCTGCAAAGAGACGTTCAACCTCTACTACCTCGAGTCCGACTCCGATAACGAGCGCTTCGCTCACGAGAGCCGCTTTGAGAAGATCGACACGGTGGCGGCAGACGAGAGCTTCACGCAGGTGGATATTGGTGATCGGATCATGAAGCTGAACACTGAGGTTCGGGACGTTGGTGTTCTGAGCCGCACGGGGTTTTATCTGGCCTTCCAGGATGTAGGAGCCTGCATCGCTCTGGTTTCCGTTCATGTGTTTTACAAGAAGTGTCCGTTAGCCGTGAGGAACCTAGCGCAGTTTCCTGACACAGTAACCGGGGCCGACACATCGTCACTTGTAGAGGTGCGTGGCTCCTGTGTGAATCACTCGGAGGAGCAGGAGGTTCCCAAAATGTACTGCGGTGCAGATGGAGAGTGGCTGGTGCCCATTGGGAATTGCCTGTGCAACCCTGGATACGAAGAACGGAATGAGCAATGTCAGGGTAAGACACTTGTGATGTTACACTCAAACTAGACTAAATGATCTTGGGCACATTTTAGAATTGACTCCATTACATCAGTTGGAATTTTGAATTGAATTGGTCACACCCCCAGGAAGTTTTTAACCTTCAAGTCTTTTTTAACTCTCAGAGACCAAAGCATAGATATTCACATGTATTATATGTACATTGTATTGTAGCAGAAACAGGCTTTCATACAAAAGTTCAGAAAACACACTTTGTACCATTCATTGAGTTCACAGTTTGAGTCCTAAAACATAAAGCAGTTTTCTAAACTTAGAAAAATATTCTTAATTATGCATGTTTAGAATTTCAGGGCCTTTTCCTTCCTGTCACTAGACATATAAATAAAAAAGTGCCAAATGCTTACTTTGTAAATAGATGAATTTGTTTCAGAACTGTTAAGAATTGTGTCTAGCGCCAGTTAATATGCCTATTTCTTCCCCCATCAAAACTGTTGTAGTCATAAATGTCATCAGAGTGTCATCTACTGTTATGTGTAGTTTTTGCCCATATTTAGTGAAGGTTAGGTATTATTTAATTGCTTTATACAAATGATGCAATTCTGCTATGCTGGGTCTCTAAGGGTTAAACTTTTTTAATGGAAAAACGTTACCTTTATAGTGAAAAATGACTTAAATATGGAAGCTTGTTTCCACTACTATAAACAAATTAAAAGATAATTGTGACTTCTTACCTCACAATTATGACTTTTTTTCTCAAACTCAGAATTGCAGGATATAAACTCATAATTCTGACTTTTTTTCTTGCAGTTGCGAGTTTGTATCTTGCAATTCTGACTTCTCACAGTTGTGAGAAACAAATTCCAATTGCAAGTTATAAAGTCCATTTCTGAGGTAAAAAAAAGTCAGCTCACAATTCTGACCTTTTCTTACAATTTCAACTTTATATCTCATAATTATGTCTTTATAAATCACAATCGCGTGTTATAAAGTCAGAATTGCAATTGTGAGATAAACAAATCACAATTACCGTTTTTATTTTTATTCAGTGGCAGAAACAAGCTTCCATACTTATATGAATTTCTTAGAATTTTTAAATTAAGGTTAATTTATGTTTGAATGACCTCAAGTTGAATTCGGGAACTGAACTGAAATTTAAAAGGATTCTCATTTCACTTCTGAATGGTGAACAACACTTCCGTCCATCCATCCCTATGTCTTTTTTCTTGTCCTCTCAAGCATGAGTCTGTCATCAGTTGGTAATAAGAGTGCTTCTGATTGGTTTATCAGCATTTGTGATTGTGTAATAAGGAGGACTGAGGTCTCTCCTCCCATGAGAACAAGAGATGCTGATTACAAACACAGAGTAGAAGAGAGAAGAGGCAGTAAATCCACGAGTGCCATCCTCACCCGAGCGTTCTCACGGAAATAACATTATAATCATACTAGTTGGGCTCTGGACTTTGTAATTAACAGATTTTTGGCAACTTCATTCCACATAATAGGATGTGACTCACTGTGGATGTGTGTGAGAGAGAGAGAGAGAGAGAGAGAGGGATCGCGAGAGAAAGATGGAATGAGTCGTGGCATGTTATCAAGAGTCTAAAAATGGCAGAGGGCCGTGAGTGTGATGAATGGATCTGTTGGAGGAGAAATTTTTTTAATTATCTTTAAAACTGACATTTCATTCTGCCATAGATCAAGCCAAATAAGAGCCTGTGACAATAATAAATACACATAACACAGACGTGTTGAAAGAAAAGAGAAAGTAGGACTTCTCTTGTGCTTAATGGCTTATAGACATGTGCTGCTATTTGTAGAAGTGCCGCAAAGACGCACTGCAAACACTTTGCGTGGTTTCCATAGCGATGATGAGGGAAAGCCGGCACCACCCTTGACCTTTGCCTCGAGAGGTCACAGGTTATGTTCTCGCTCAGGACTCAAGTGCAGTCATCTGGAGCTGTTTCAGGTTTCCTTAAGTGTGCGTCGACTCCATGATGAGTTGAATGTTATGTGAGTTTTTGAAGGGGATTTATGTTACAGACAGATTATTAATTGAGCCTTCATGAATACTGATGGTATTTGAATCTGCATTAATTATTCAGAAGATTGAAAACTATGAATAGCAACACACTGTGGACTTTTTCTTTTTTTACTGTTCTCATAGAGACATTTTCATGACATTTATTTTCGTATGTGTGTTTCATGACAAGCATTTGAACTCACATATATATATATGTGTGTGTGTGCTTGTCCTCTCAAGCATGAGTCTGTCATCAGTTGGTAATAAGAGTGCTTCTGATTGGTTTATCAGCATTTGTGATTGTGTAATAAGGAGGACTGAGGTCTCTCCTCCCATGAGAACAAGAGATGCTGATTACAAACACAGAGTAGAAGAGAGAAGAGGCAGTAAATCCACGAGTGCCATCCTCACCCGAGCGTTCTCACGGAAATAACATTATAATCATACTAGTTGGGCTCTGGACTTTGTAATTAACAGATTTTTGGCAACTTCATTCCACATAATAGGATGTGACTCACTGTGGATGTGTGTGAGAGAGAGAGAGAGAGAGGGATCGCGAGAGAAAGATGGAATGAGTCGAGGCATGTTATCAAGAGTCTAAAAATGGCAGAGGGCCGTGAGTGTGATGAATGGATCTGTTGGAGGAGAAAATTTTTTAATTATCTTTAAAACTGACATTTCATTCTGCCATAGATCAAGCCAAATAAGAGCCTGTGACAATAATAAATACACATAACACAGACGTGTTGAAAGAAAAGAGAAAGTAGGACTTCTCTTGTGCTTAATGGCTTATAGACATGTGCTGCTATTTGTAGAAGTGCCGCAAAGACGCACTGCAAACACTTTGCGTGGTTTCCATAGCGATGATGAGGGAAAGCCGGCACCACCCTTGACCTTTGCCTCGAGAGGTCACAGGTTATGTTCTCGCTCAGGACTCAAGTGCAGTCATCTGGAGCTGTTTCAGGTTTCCTTAAGTGTGCGTCGACTCCATGATGAGTTGAATGTTATGTGAGTTTTTGAAGGGGATTTATGTTACAGACAGATTATTAATTGAGCCTTCATGAATACTGATGGTATTTGAATCTGCATTAATTATTCAGAAGATTGAAAACTATGAATAGCAACACACTGTGGACTTTTTCTTTTTTTACTGTTCTCATAGAGACATTTTCATGACATTTATTTTCGTATGTGTGTTTCATGACAAGCATTTGAACTCACATATATATATAT